ATATATATATATATCACAGGTATGTAAGCAAATAATTATTCAAACCTCCATACCTAAAACATTAAAATTCACACAGAATTTGGTTGTTTTCCTCACTGACTTGAAACATTTAGTGGACAGATGTCCTACCTTTGTTCCTGCCTGGCTCAGGAGCTGGGTGTATGTCGCCCACACAGGAACATTTAAACATCTCTGTTTGTCACTATCTACAAGATCCATGACTGCTGCCTGAAGAAAAAGATGATGACAACACKCAAAARATTACATTTTAGAAGATCCAGACAAATGCAGRTGACAATAACATCAAAAACATCACTCTGTGTAATGTTTGGTTCCGTACTGGATGGGGGGACGTAGTTATCCAGGGGCAACAACTTCAAAATGGCCTCCAAAAGTTGAGGAATTCCCAAACCTGAAATTAGATCAGACAGTTTAAACAATGACATAAACATAACATCATTTGGCATTAGTAGACGGATCAAACATACCATCAGCTCTAACCTCTCTGGGGCCACAAGCACAAATGGAAGATGAAGGGAAGTTGACATCAGCAAGCACTGGAGAGAATTTAAAATGTACACAAAATAAATAGTAAAGAAACTCAATTATTTAATTTGTGTCAATCTTGAACACAAGAGTTAAATGTCAAATATCAGCAGTAGTCTACATAGAACCTCCTTGGTCCTGTAATAACACAAATTTCAGCCTTCTGCCTTGCTCACAGATCATCACTTTTATGCCTTAGAGAACATTTAGATTTACAGATCATACCTAGRTCATCGCCATGGCCCATCTTAGCGAGAACATAAAGCAGATCAGGTGACAAAACAGAAGGAATTCCTTTTAGGACGACCATTCTGACGACCAAAGCAACTGAGAACCGGAAGTTGAGCCGAAGCGAAATAGTTCACTCCACTAACTTCTGTTTTCGTTTAACTTCGGTCCACCCGCTGGCTACAAAACAACTTAAAAGCACATATCACMGGGAGTTTGTTTGGTACTGTGTTAGTTATTCTTGGTAACAACGTCAGCATTTAAGGCTAAGAGAAGCTACYCTAACCTGTTGTGTTCATTTACTGACTGAAAAATCATTTGAAAACCAAACATTGGGTGAATCAAGATAGTTCACTCCACAGTTTTCCGTTTTCGTTTAGGTCGGCAGCACCTGCAGGTACACATATGGAACTTCACTTTTCTAAATTTACCTTTTCTATATTTCTTTGAAGGAAATTGCTGATAAATAATGTTAAACAAATCTTTAATGATTTCAGATTAAAGGAATCTTGTAAAAAGTCTTTTATAAAGGGCTTGTGGGCTGAGGCACAGATTTTACAATCATCTGTTCTTAATCATGAACATTTATACAAGCTTTATTGCACAACTCTGTTACACAGATTMGATATATTGTATTGATAATCTTTTTACAACAGGAAACAGAAATGTCACATTTTGGTAACTGAGCTTATGGCTCTTTTTGCTCTAGCTTTTGGAATTTTCAAACTATGGAAAATAAATTTATATCACATCTTTTGTAACTAGCAATAAAGCATGTACAACACAAGCACTGTGACAAAGTATTTTAAAATGGGAGTTATTTTTGAGATTGCAGGCTGCTAGGCTGCAGAAAAGACCATTGCWGGAGTCAGGCCTGTCTGCCAAACTTGAAAGCCCCCTCTCCCTCCCCGGACCCATGCTGCTCTGGCTTTATTTTCACTTCTTTAAACGAGTTTATCACGCTAAGAAGGTCTGCGCTGCCAAATTGTATCATTTTGCCCACTTTGTGTGCATGGAGAGCCTCATTTGAGTCTACATTTATTATTTTGACCTTTCGGCAGCCTCAAAGAGAAATTCCTTTTCAGGTCCTCTTATTGGAGTTTTGTGCTTCCCTGCAGAGTAAGAGGACGAGTTTTTTCTTCTTCTTTTATATGTTTTGTTGCAGAGACTGACAAGAGAGCAAAATGTGGGGGAAGGCTGAATAAAAAAAAATCAATTAGGACATTGTCTTGTGAAGATATGAGGTGCTGCCTTGTGATGAACTAGGATAAAGAGAAAAAAGATGCCTCTTAATGAAAAGAAAGCCACACTAACCAAATTGGTTCTGGTGTTTTTTCCCTCCTCCTCTTCTTCTTCTTCTTCTTTGAAGTCATAATGTGTTTGGGTTGCACAAGATAAAAAAAGCTCAAGACTCAGTATGCAAATGCATATATAGCTAGTGTACAGTACAAAAAACTTTTTATTACAGGGTTACAATGGCCTTTTTGATTAAAAAAGCAAGAAAACAAAACTGCTGATCACTGTTAAAATAACATTAAAGATTAAACCTCACTTTATAGTTCAGAGATAAAAAACGAATTGCACAATTTTTCAAAATGCCCTGAATAATTTTATTTTAGTGCATAAACAACAACAACATAATGAGTTCTGGTCATATTCAAATTTGTAGTGTGTAACTAGATGTTAAGTGTGCTAAGTGTAAAGAATTGAAAGTATACTTTTTATGTTTTGTATGTAACAAAATAAAAGTAAAAGTTACAATTGAAAAACTTAGAAATTGCTGTTTTTATGATGTCCCTTTTTACTCATAAAAAAACATTCATATAGTTTTGTTGTCCAAAAATCGCACAATASCACCATCTAGTGGTTCAAATGTATATCCATGGATTTTATATATTTAGAAATSTCTTTATAATATTAAATAATGGGAAATGCAATGTTTGTAATACATAAACGTAATATTCACAAAACCCACAGTTGTTAGTCTAGAACAGAAACAATTGTATCATTTATCTGTCACTATTACGCGTGTAAACTCATGATAACTTATAAAAAAACATTCTCCAGCGTTTCATTGACGTCGGAGTTGACCACAACAGTTCACCATTCGCACCGTAAGGCACGAGCAGACGGGTGGAGACTGTTCTGACATTGTTCGCTTGTAAAACCCGCCCTTGCGGCACACATCGTATGCGAAACAAATCACACCAGCGGATGACGTTACAGACCAGATTAGCTGCAGCCTGCATTCTGGTACGAGGCAAGTTGAAGCTAGTCACCGCCGCCCTGCTAACGAAAGCTAGAGCTAGCAGGCCAAGCTTTAGGTAAAAATGTGTTACTTTTTTATAATCCGTAAAGTAGTCATAGTTTTGGCACAAATMTTGGATTTCATTGCAATAGTTTAAGGATAATTTTTCTGTGATTTTTGTCCTCACGCGGCTATATTTTGTTAGCTTGGAGATGCTAGATTACTCGATGCTACTAGATTCCTGCAGYAGTTGCAAGTGCTGAAGTTACCGATGTAGTTAAAAGCTTGTACGAGTATACATGTCTCAGTGACAAATTATGGGCGTCTCATTTCCTACCTCCTAAAAAAAAACTTGCTTTTATTGATAGATTATTGACAGCATTTATCTTTCTATTGCATCGTGTTTGTTGGCTTTTGAGTTTGGTAGGATAAAGCTATATTGCTCTTATTTTTCGACGTTAAGAACTCCTAAAACAGTTCAGAAATTCCTGTTAGAGTTAGTTTACAGATGGTAAAGTTGTTGCCCAGCCAGGCAGGTAGAAGCTGTAAGGAACAGGTGCAGTTTGAACGTCTCAGGGACAAATAAGGTAATGTTACTTTAAGGGAAATCTTGTTTTATCTCCGAAAATATAATTTTTCCAACGGGACACTGGTGAAAATTGCACCTTGGCGCCTTCTAAAACCCATTCACTCCAGTGCAGTGAGTGATCCCGTTTCGAGCTCAGTGCTGCCCTCTTGTGGACCAGAATTGTATTACAACAATATTAACTTTAATGGCCGCAGAAAAAAGGCTTTGTTTTAACGCCAGTACGTAATTTTAAACATCTGTTTTAAACTTGAGTAAGTTTTATGTGTGACATTTCAAACAAGTCTTGTCACAAGCCTAACGATTGCAGAGCAGCACACAAATAGAGCGTCATGTCCCCAAACAAAGATGTATGATCTTGTGCAACAATTTAAAGCACTGATTAAAACATGTCAGTCAAACGACCAAAAGCTTAAGTTGCAACTTAAAATCTTTAAGACAGTCATCTGCCATGTTCATACCYAGTTCGTAGAAATCCTCTCGGGCCACTTCTTCTTTAACATTCATATTTTACCCATTTTAGCTGTTGAAACTGAAAATATTGTTTTTATTCTTTATTTCATTATTTAGAATGTCCTCACCAGCACAAGTGGACGATGACGATGAGGAAGAAGTTGAATTTGTATCAGTAAGTTGGGTGCACCATCTTTTACTAGTCCACCTGGTTTATAGTCAAGGAGATGTAAGAAGTTGTGGCCCGCTGATCCACAKACTACAAATAATGTGTTAAAATATTCTGTTAAGATTTGAATGGCACTTAAAAATAATAAATTTTAAGCATTGAATCACAAAAACTTTTATTTTTATTTTAATTTATTTTTTTTATTAAAGATATGATTTATTTTTTCTATAACACTGTTTTGTGTTTTCCTCAGGCAGGCCCMCTTAGACCAGTGTTGGACTGTATTGATCTGTTAAGTGACAGTGAAGATGAGGGATGTTCATCTCTGCCTGTCATGGTGAGCAGCTWAGCAAATATTCTGTCTTCGTATGATTKTATTCTTCTGCAAACACTTGTTTWTTCTTCCATCTGCAGCTTGAAGACAACATCACACGACACAAAGCGCGAGTCACGTCCACGCTCGACAGGTTGGCACATAAAGTGGCCCTAGACAAAAAACAGAGAGCAAATAAATGTAAAGCATTCAAGGTAATAAAGTTCATACAATGTTGTTTGTTTTTCATATATTTTTGTTTTTCTGTTGGCTTTGACTGACTTGTTTTGTTAATAAAAGGCAGGCGTGTAAAGGGCCGCTGACTTTTTTTTAATCTCTTTTTTTCCTTTTTGTTTTAGGAAAAACAAATCTTACAAAAAGCTCATGGACAGCAGGAGCTYGCGGTTAATTCTACAAATGGACTGACTCAAGAAGCAAAGCGCTGTGTGGACATGTGGTTGAAGATGCCAGGTAAAATTTGTTCACCCTAAATTTATAAATAATCATTGGCGTTAGCAGTAATACTTTTTAGGACAAGGGTGTAAAAGTAAGTACATCCTGTCTCTTTATTAAAATTAAAACCCTGTAAAACTGTTAAAGGGATCCACAATTATTTGTAACATTAGACTTTATTTGATAAACTTTTTTTAACTGTAAAATAAAGACTGCAAAAATGCTGTAGGCTATTTAGTTAAAATGTTTAAAAATATATTTTAACATGGACAGAGCCAGTTTATTTACACACAAAGCATTCTGGGTAAATGATAACATTTTGATCACGTCCACGAGGTTATCATTGTGAGGGAGCTATATCCACCCTGAAGGTTAATCTTGGACAATATCTGATGATCGACTCTTTTAAATGAAACCACAGAGCGTTGACAGAGAGGAGAAGGTGGAAATGACTCAGTCTGTAACTGAAAATATGGATGGAGGACAACAGAGCTGCTTCATGGAAGAAGAACCTCAGCTTAGCCTGTTAGCTTTAGCGCCGACGCTATATTACTTTATATGTATTAGCTCGGTGCTAGCGTGACAAACAAGCTAAACTGAGGTCCTCCATCTATATTTTCAGTTGCGTTCCCATCAGTGACGAGAGGAGAATGTGTAGCGCTGAGCTAATACATAGGGTGATAGCGTCGGGGCTAGCGTGAAGGCTAACAAGCTTTAAATGTGTGCAAAATTTTGTTTTAAATGTGTGCAAAATTTTGTTTTAAATGTGTGC